GCACCTGTTACTACTAGCGTGGCACTTGTTACTACTAGCTTCTTGTTGATTCCCCAAGAACCAGTGCGAATGACAGACTTGACCTCCACCCTAATGGCAATGGCATCCGTTGAGAAGATGTCACGTCCCCGAGGTCGAGTACCCTTGCACCTGCGAAAAGCAGGCGCAGCGCAACCGGCGGTGGCCACAGGCGAGAGAGATGGATGGATGTGGTGGCCACAGATCCACTCGTTTTACTAGTAACAAGTGCCACGCTACTAGTAACAAGTGCCTTACTTGTAGTAACAAGAAGCTATTAAATTTACTTTAATTTAAATTCTAATAGCTTTTTGTTACTACCAGTAAGGCACCTGTTACTACTAGCGTGGCACTTGTATCTAATAGCTTCTTGCTACCACTAGCTTCTTGCTACTAGTGGCGATGGCCTATAACCTAATAGCGATGGCCTCCAACCGAGTAGCTTCTTGTAATGGATTCGATTTGGTTTCTGGTCACACAGATGCGGTTGATGGTCATGTCGTTTTTCTCCATCACCTATCACAGACGAGATGGAGAATACTAAAACAAAAAGGACCATCTCATGTTATCGCATGATTCCTAGGCTCTAAAATCTCAAACTTGACCCTTCATAATGGTTGGTTGACTTTATTCAACAAAAACAGTGGGCAGCGGCCAAGCCACCGAGTGTCGGCCTCCGTACACGCTGTTTACTCGTGCAGGTTGCATCTCCTGCTCCTCTCAGGAGGCTGGTCGCTTAGGCCAGGCACATGGGGGAGCACCGGAACTTGGCCAGGAACGGCGTGAAGAATCAGTTTTCACGTCGAGACCTCACTGTGCCATCTATCCAAAATCAGCCTGGGCATTCTAGAAATACCGCCTGGCCGAGTTTATCAAGGCTTCTACGATTGGGCGTTGTTGGTGAAAGGCTTGACCAACTGCACTAAAATTGCCGCAAGACCAGTCTTCACACACATTTGCTTCAACCTGCACTATCAAAGCTTCAAGTCTGCTGTTGCTTGCGAAAGATCAAACCCTGCAAGAATGAACGACTCCGGCAAAGCTTTTGTGAGACACGTTCTTTGAAGCACACCATTCTATCAACTATGCTAATAGATCCCTTGTTTCCGGATCCTTCTCTGTATCCAAACCGCCACGGCCTTGCTCCACATCGGGTGGAAGCATCCCTTTTCTCCTGTGCCCGGCTGTGCCTGGCTGTGCGGTGCCACGCGCACACCAGGCGGGCCCATTTGGTGGGACTCCCCACGGCCCGCAGACCTCATCGGCTGGGCGAAAGCCGGTTGCCCCACCTCAGAGCCGCTGGGAGAAAGCTGGATGAATTGCATCATTCTCACCGGCTACTAGGAGCAAGGACGCTACTAGGGGCTCCTGGCCTTACTACTAGGAACAAGAAGCTATTAGGAACAAAGGGCATCGCTACTAGGAGCAAGGACGCTGAGTTGCATCATTCTCACCGGATGACCGGCCATCGCTACTGTAGTAGGTTGGAGAAGCACTCGTGAAGAAAGAATTCGTGCTTCATCTTGTTTCCACTAGTGCTTGGTCGTGACGTCCAAAAGCCAGAATCCACCAGAGGTATTTGGAACTTGGTCAGATCATTCACCTAATTGCTGAAAGTTGGGGTCAAGTGACTTGTGGCAAGCACAAATGATGCTAACGCTTTGCGGTGGTTTGAGGAAGCCCGGCAAGAAACGGAAAGCAGAGGAGGAGGGCGAGGACAGTCCCGGTCTGAAACGGTCTGTCCGAAAAAAGCTCCCCAAGCCAGGAAAGTGTGACGAAGTGAGGGAAACCACATGAAAGCGCACGCCGCACCCGCTTCAACACTGTTTCCTTTTTAGGACGGTTAGTTGGACGGGAGGCCATCGCTATTAGGTTGGAGGCCATTGCCCTTCACCTCTTTTTCCATTTAAGATGGAGTTTGTGGACGGTTTGTGGGATGTTCTCGAAAAGTCTTGAAACTCTGCTCCTCTCATAATTTTCTGTCCAATTGCCTTTCCGACAACTGTCCAAATCCAGACCAATTCATGCCTTCAGTTAAACTCACGCATGTTTGCTCTGTTTGTCTAGCATTTCATTACGACTGAGTCCAGGACGCTGAGTTGGAAGCCCGGGCAGCTGCACTACGCCGGGGCGTGAACGCCGGGTTGAGGTGCCACACGGAGCTGGTGAGTCGGTGGAGCTGGTGATCCCGCTGCAATATTTGTTGAAACAACCGATGTCATTGTTTTTCTTCGCACGTTAGCTTAAAGAACGGATCATTCTTCCAATCCTTCGTCTGCCAGGACCGCCGAGGCAGAGGCCCTGGAAGCCACAGCAGCAGCCTTTCGTGGCTCCGGGGAGAAGGTGGCTCGACTCTGTTTGGTCGTAAAGGCCTTTTGACAGCCAAAGGCAAAGAACTAAGATATTAGGACCGCTTTACGAGAACGAACGTTCGTGAAAGGAGGCCATCGCTAGGTTGGAGGCCACATAAGAGCGATGGCCGGAAACCTAATAGCGACGCCCAAACCAAAGAATATTGAAGAACGTTCGTTCTCGTAAACCGATCCTAACATTTTGTGACATCGTGTGGGGGGAAAACGTCCGTTTTTGCTGTAGTCCCAAAGACCCAAGTCTCTTTAGGAAAGGCAGTCAACAAGGACAGTCGAAAGGACAAGAACGGTGAGAAAAACCGAAAGGACAAGATAGCCCAGAAACATATTCTGCCGGTGTGTGGATGTGTGTGGTAGGTAGTGGAGTCCAAGTCCGTTCTTAAACGACTTCGTCTAAGGATACTTTGTTTTTGTGGGTTTCCATATTACATTTTTGGGAGGCATTTGATGCCTCTGGTATCATTGTATTTTTGGCATCTAGTGGGGTAGGAAGCTACTAGGAACAAGTGCATCGCTAGTAGTAACAAGTGCCTTACTAGTAGTTACAAGAAGCTATTAGGAACAAGTGCATCATTGTATCATAAGGTTTCTGGCGAGGTGCCGAAACGGTTAGACAAAGCTGAGGGTGTAGTGAGACGATAAAGGGGATTTCCCCGCGGGATCGGTCCGTTGGTTTGTTTCCTTTTCGGGCTGAGGGTCTCCTGAAATCAGTATGCTTATGCACTTGGATTTGCACTTGGGGTGGGTCTATTTAAATGGGGTGCTCTGTTGAAAATGACGTATGCACTTGAGACTGTATCCTTCGATTACAGAACTATATCAATATATTAGGGAACTGTAAGCTGAACTGTTGACAATAGCAATGGATCTATGTGATCTATGTACACTACTGTGAGACTGTGAGGTTGAAGTATGTCCAGGCTTGGCAGCCATGTCACAGGGAAAAACACCCACTTGGCGCAGCTCAAGTTCCCTGTCAGAGCAGAATCAAAGGAGTGATGTCATCTATAGCTGTGCACTGTCATCAGGCACAGCAGTTCCACAGCAGTTCCACACCCACTTGAGTCTAAAGTGTCTGAACACAATCCTTGGGTGAACTAAGCCTTGTTTGCACACCACACTGGACCACACTTCCACTGTTTGCCGAATACCTGCTACAACATGGTTCTTTCTGGCATTTTGGGTGTCATGGCCAATGCCCAGATCGACCCTGACAATGGCGATCCAGTCAGCGAGGACCGGTTGATGATCTTTTTTGAACAGGCACAAACAGAGAAAAGTTCAAGCCAGAAAAATATTTGGACTGCAGATTTCAGACAACACCAGCCACAGGAATCCAGCTCTGACTCTGAAGAAGAAGAGAACAAGTCTTCATCCACCTCAACGTCAAAGGCAGGATCATGCAGGATCCCAGTCAAAAGACCTGACTATGCCAACAAACCACAAACATTATTGTACATAAATACATCATACTACTGGTACTACGGTACTACTACTGTAATACAAATACTGATAAATGATACATCCAAATACTGGATACTGAGACTGTTTTCTTCCCATGAGTCATTGAGCCATCTCACCCAGTCTCCCCCAATTCAAATCACCAAGCCCAAGCCCAAGCACACTCACACACACAGGCTGATTTATCCATTTCCACTCCGACTATGTTTGATGCTGCAACGTTGTATGTGAGATCGGCGAACGTGGATCCAACAGAATTCTCACCTCAGCACCTCGTTTGTGCACACACTTTTTGGAACAATTTGTTCAAGCTAGTGGTGAGTAAGGCTCACACAATTTTGGTACAGTATCATTGAGTCAGGTGCACTGTGACAGGGTTACTCCAGTTCCAGTTTGGTGGACTCCAGAGTTCCATCAAAGAGTCTATTGAAATTCCAAACTTCTGAATTGCATGCCAAGGTATTGCATCGCTTCTGACTGCAGTGGAGCCGGGACTTTGAACTACTGCATGACAGGAGCTCAGTGGTGATTGAAGTCAAAGGTGCACAAAGTGTTGTTCAAACGCAGGAGAACCAGTTTCCTCTCATGTTGTCCAAATCTTTTGGTTCAAGTTCAGTTCAGATGTAGCGTAACGCAATTTCTGTTGCTGCCCATTCTAATGGGACCATGTGACAACATGCGCCGAGGACTGACCTCTGTGACAAGATCCGTTCCACCTTCTTCGAGGTCAGTGCTTCAGAGAACTGGAAGGAGGTTCGAGATATGCTCGTTGCAAATTATGGAAACTGCCACCTGGTCAAAATTCGGGACTGTTCATGGGCTAGTCTAGGCAGGTATACAGTATACATTTACAGGGCGTGGGCCAGGTAGCCCCCAAGGTAGTTCAGGTTTTTGCGCCTATATAGTCATTCTTCTTGACTTAAATGTTGTCAGAGTCAGAATTTCAGAACTCCCAAGAGTCATGATGTCAGATTTTGGATTTAATCACACAAAGGTGGGTTGGGGGACATTCATTTTGTCATCCAAGGCCATCATGTCTTCCATGATTGCGCTGGAGGCCACAGTGGTGGTACATGTGCTGTTCACAATCAGTTCTGCAGTCCAGACCCTCCTGATGTTGATGAGGAAGTGATTTGGCAGATGAAACGACAGGAAACACTTAAGAATTGACACAGTTCAGTTTCAGGGAAGTGGAACTTTTGAAAAAATTGCTTACTTGTTCTTTGACCTGTTTTCATGGGATACCGGAGAATGGAATCAAGTACTCCAGTCACCACCAACAAACCGCAGTGGTCACAGAAATGATGGCAATGACTCCACTATGACTCAGACTCATGACCCCCACTCCACCATCTAAGGATATTTACGCAGCAGGGTGCCCTTGCACTCCATTCTCTCGCTTGTCATCCAAGAGGAAACGTGAAGATTATGATCCATTTGCCAACGACGAGCGAACACGTCCCCTCATTGAAGCAGCGCGCCATATCCGACGGCGGCGGCCCAAAAGTTTCATTTTGGAACAGGTTTGGGGTTCAAGGGTTCAGTTCTTGATTGTCTTGTTTCAGCAGAAGCCGCACTGTCAACAGGAGGTAATTAACGGTGACATTGACAATGTCTATCAGTCACATGAGTCACATGACATGACCTCCGACCTCCTTCAAAGTTGCAATGTTGTTTTTTACACAGACAGGCAAACAGACAAGACAAAATTCTGGACATCTTGTCTTGGTTCATTTCACCGGACCTCAAGACATTTGAGAAATGTCGAGTCATGTAGGTTAAGATGCTCCCAAGAACAGGTGGCCACACACAGCCAAAGACTTGTCCAATCGTGCCACAGGTGGTTGCCTTCACAAAGCCTTGGCCATCTCAATGCAAGGGTCCCTTCTTTGAGGAGTATGAGGCACGGCTAACGGCACTTGTGGGTTACACATTACTGGCTACTACTACTTGTAGGCTTTCTTGTGCTGTCCTTCCATCACAGTTCCACTGGGTGGGGTGGGCGGGTGTGTCAATTTCATTCAACACTGCCACTGCAGTTTGGCTAGACAGGCTTGGATTGTTGAGATTCAGATTCACTGCTACCAGTACAAACTTCCATAATTTGTCAACAAGTTTTACTTCTGGGAATCTAATCTATGAAGACACTCTGAGGGCTCAGGACTGGGGACCCCAAACTCACACAAGCAGATTACCCAGTGTTACGGTGTTACGTTCTAAGACTAAGACTAAGACCGCCAATGCCATTGTGTGATTTGTGGCAGTGGCAGTCACAAGAAAGCTCCAGTGCTACCACTGGTGATTCGGCTGACACAGACACGGACACCAACCCAGACCTGGAGTCCCTTCATGAAGATGAAGTTGTGCCAAGAGAGCAACCAACTCTTCCAGAAACAGAGGAAGGTCAAAAATTGAGACGGCAAAGACAAACAGCCAAAGCTCGGGCAAGAGCTATTGCCGCCAAGCATGAAAGGAGGTTGGTTGCAAAAGAGAGATTGCTGGTCAAGAAGAGGTTCCTGATTTGCTTAGAGCTTTCCAGCTACGCTTCTTTCGATCTATCTCCAATGCTGACTGCACAGTTTTCGATGAGAATCCACAGCAGCGCGAGGAGAACCGTGGGCAGCGCAGACGAGCTGTGGTCATATTTGTCAGCTTTTGCTTGGAAAGTTGCACAGCTCTTCTTGCCAGGTGGCGGTAGTGCTACCACCGACACAAATACAGGTGTCACAGATGCAGCTCCAGAATCAGAACAGTTTCCACGTGTGATCAGCAGCTATGTTGTAGATGATACCAACATGACACTCCTGTCAGCGAAGCAAGGGTCATATGAAGTGCGTACTGCACTCAATTGCCTGCAACGGCATTTGGTTGTGCGTTCAGACAGTGGCAGGGCTCCAACTTGGTTTCAATTTCACCAGCCGCTCATTTTTCTGCAATCCCCTTCATCCCAAGAGATTCATCAGCATTTCCTTGCTTGGGCATTGTCGTTTTGCAATGAAGCAGGGCCTCGACTGCAGCTGTGTGGGGTTCCAAAACAAGTCTTTGCAAAGGTTAGGATGCTCTCAAGGTGAACGATGCAGTATACAAAAAGTTAAGAAAGCAAATGCACTACACACCTCAGAGTGGCAGTGGATGCAAAACACTTCTGTTGCAAATGCACTGTGTGATTCATCAAACATCTTTGACCCGCAAATCCTTAGCACTGGGCTTTTCTGGACTGTGGTCTTGCTTAGTAAGACTTGCGCATTTGTTCGAGTCCCACAGCTTCCGCATCCACTTCAAGAACGCTATGAGAAAAGTCATTGAGGACAATTTCTTCTGCTTGCCAGCTGATGATCTTCCCTCCGGATCAGCTGCTTGGAGGGAAGCAAGAATCCAAAGCCTTCGGCTTTTTTCAGATTCAGGCCACAGTGGAGGAATCTCTAGTGGCAATGCTTCCAGGAGGCTGAAAGCACTTGTACACTGCAAGAAAGACAATGGCAATCCATGGTCTCAGAATTTCTGTCATTGGTG